TAAAAGCAGTATGCATCCTATTGGAACCTTCATTATTGTTTAATCCTTTTGGCCATGAAAAATACTCACAATTAAAAGATGCTTATACTCCTGTTTAGAAGCCTGAAGGAAATGTCTCTTTCCGTTTTCTTTGTTCAGAAGATCTTACTTATCTGATATCCGAATGACTGAAATATTTGCCATGTTAGCAGACACGAGTTCATGCAATGAATTAGAGAGGCATATATGAGGCATTCAATGAGTTCAAGTCTGACACGGGTTTTTTTAATCTGGTTCTGTTAACAAAAAGATATATAAGACAAATATGGTTTAATCAACAAGTAAAAGCGATTGATAGAAGAAGGAAGTTTCTAATTTTCACCCGAACCCATCGTCTGAGAGTGCATTAGGTAGGGTAATTCATGCACATTGGACTGTAGTGTTTACAGGAAGCCGTCACTATGCAAGTGTATAACCATGAAAATTAACGGCTGCCCCATCATCAAGGCTGGTCGCCTTTCGGTACCTTAATTGCTTGCTAGCGGACGTTCGACTCGTAAGTGCCCACAATGTCTTCATCGGAGTTCGGTGTGCACGCAAAGATTACTCGACCATCTGGTTCATCGACTCTGGCTTTTAAGATCGTCCGAATTCTCATTCTCTAAGTGGATAATTTCTCTGTCTAAGCTGATTTTCGGAACCAACTATGGAGGCGAGAGGTCATTGCACTTGTAAATAGACTGCGATCATGAAGAAGGACACACGATAGCCAAGACAAGAGCTTTATTAGCCTGACGTTTCGGATTCCTGCTCGGACCCATCATCAAAGACAAAAGCAGATACGGGGGATTCACGCACAAGTGGCTGCATTATTTATAGGATGCAGTCGCCATGCTACTGCATACCTATGAATATCCTCGGCTACCCCCTTCATCAGGGATTGTTGCACGTGGTGTGATGACCGACATTCACGTCGTTAATTGCTGCACTTTCATCACATGCGTTGAATGAATCAGTGAATCATGAGTCAGGCGGCACGCGGCTTGCGGTTGTCTCCTCTTGCAGGACTTCGAGCCTCAAACTTGGATGATTGGCCAGATTCCGCCTATTGAGTTGCAACTTGGGATCTGGCATCAGTCCTTCGCACCGCTGCCGCGTATTCGAGCATGCGCGTCCACAGCAGTTTTTCAGATTCTCCTACAAACTCAGCAGACGTAGTAAATGGCTCCAAGTGTTTCCTGCCGTAGCAGTGGGTCCTTTAGCCTCAAAATCTGGCGTCGCGTGGCTAATTCTAGTCAGTGCACAACTCCAATTGAAACTTGTGTAAGCAGGCTTCGTTCCGTACGAGAACGCTTGACAAACTTTAGGGTTGGTTCGATTGTATCTCCTGTTTTTTTGCGCACCAGCCGATTCTGCGGGTAACCATTCGCTCTAATTACTCCTTTAAGGTATTGTAATTTAGAAACCTTGTTTTCTGGTTAATTGCAGTGCGTTTGAACACGCTGATATGCCGCTCCTGTTCAACTGCGTTTGCGGCTAATTGGGTGACTGTAGTTGTAACAAAGAACTTACGTCGTAGTAGTCGTTTTTCTGAACGCTTTACTTCTTAGGCCATCACAGTATTTGAGGCAGACTAGAACATCGATGAAGGCCAGCTGGTTGTTTTATCTCCTGCATGGTGAATTGTGTGTCCGGGAGATGGGGTTGAGATGGTTTTTGAATGTCGTCACCTGATTCCTTTCAATGACGGCGAAAATGTCATGCATATACCGAGCCCATAATTCTGGTCTGTGGCGTCGGAAGACCAGTGAATCCAACGGCTGGAGGGCCGTTTCGGTTATAGGTCCCGAACTCAGTGAACCCACTGTAAATTGAGTCATCAAACGAGGCGATTCATCGTTTCAACGCATTTGTCCAGCAGGAGTTATTCGATGCCAGACCCTAGGAAATAATGCAAAACAACGTGACCTCCCGGCTCCATATTCTATGCTGGGACTTTGCCAGGGCAAATTAATTGGGCAGGCTTGCGGGGTACGGACGACCAACATTTCTTAAGCAGTGTGTCGCATAACCGAGTAGTTCTCATGCCAAGTACCAGCAACGCTAATTGATTTCCGGCGATTGGCATTTCGGAAGCAGATCATCAGGCGATCGTCGAATGAAATAGGAGTCCCACCGATTAATGAGAGAACTGCCAATCATGGAGCGCATGTTGTTGCATGGTGATTAAGTTCCATAAATACTCTGTTTCTTGTGCCTTCATTAGCCTTACCTGCCACTGTTTCTGAGGATGAGTTCAAGTGAGATTCCGAAGCATCAGGCCAGTAAACCTCTTGTCCCAGCTTTCGCGTCTCCTTCTGAACTGCTTCTATCGACAAACTGTACTCAACACCAGGATCCATAAGTCAAGTAATCATCACGCTAACATCCAACAGGAGTGATGAAATTTTGGCGGTGACGAATCGATTGCAGGCCGTCAAGTCATTATTGTAACAAGGGCGACCGTCCTCCATGTTGGCGTGTAGCAGTTAGTATTCATAGCCTTGCAGTATAATAGCGACTGCATCCCACGAAAATTTTACAGAAATTATACGTATGTGATGCCCTCTTTGATGCCAGGATCGTAAAGCTTTTGTTTTGAACATCGCGTCTTCCTTGCAGCTACTTCCAGTTACTGATATGTTCACTTGTATCGGCGGAGTTTGATCGCTTCTGCCAAACGGCTTCCAGCAATGTTTATCTGTGCGGCAAAAGGCTTCTTAGTTGGGGGTGAATAGATTTACTGAACATTATGATTTCCCCATGTTCCAGTGACTGCATTTTCATTTTGTCGTATACCAAGATAGTAAACAACTTAGACTACATATATATTGCTTCTTCGGATATAAACGACCATTTAAATGGCAAAATTGCAATTTTACAAAATGTTAGTTTATTCTGGAAGACCGGAGATAATTGCTCAACGTTGTGAATTCTGACTTGTCGTCCTAGTAGTCATGGTTTTTGAAATGATTACAGTACTGCGAGAGGTAAACGTGGTCGCTTGTTAATAAAGGGGATAGCATAGCGGACTTCATAACACAGTTTAGGAAAAAAATTGATCATGTTCGTATGCTAATATAGTGACGCAAGCATACTATAGTGTAGTGTATTTTAGGGTAATAGGCGATACCCTTGATGACCCTATTGAAAACGGTACATAAAATGCTAAATGTACATCTTACTAAAATTTTGTCAGTAACATATTTGTTCACGGAAACCTTTCACAATGCGGGACGACGAAGGGTGCTGCAGGCGGTCTTCTCAGTGTGCATATGAAATTTTAAGTGCAGTTATATACAATCAGCACAAAATGCAGTCATTTGTATAGTTTGAGAGGAGACATTTCATTAAAAGTCAGGGATGTGTTGAGTAGGGATGAAATCAAGAAATGAAATTTATGGCTGGCCGCAGATAGTCCTGTTGTAAAAGTCGTCGTTTATCAAAGACCAAACGATCCAGCAGCCTTTTGAATACAGCAATTGTATCAGATGCCACTATTTCATTTGGGAGTGAGTTCCATGGTCGAACAACACGCTGGCTAAAAGAAAATTTCCGATTGTCTAGGCGTGTACGCTCCCGCTTGACTTTGTAAGGGTGACCGCGCAGGTGACTCGTGGTCGTGAATTCAAAAAAGTCGTCAGTTTTAAGCGAACATTCATGCCCGTGGATAATGCGGAATGTCCATAACAGGTCACACCTCATTCGTCTATAGGATAGGGGCAACAAATTTAACTGGATCAGTCTTTCTGGGTATGACTGAGTCCTGAGACCGTCTACCAGTATTGGGGTCAGCCGTTGCACCTGCTCTATGGCATCACTGTTTTTCTTCATCCAGTGCATCCATGATGGCATTCCGTATTCCAAGTGCGGTCTGACAAACGTGCCGAATATCTGTGAGAAGAGTTCTGGAGAAAAGATTTTGAAGGCACGCCTAATCTAGTGCATGACGCTGGTTGCCTTTTGGACGACTTGTGGTATAGAAGCGACTGCATCCCACAAATACTGTACAGAAATTATACGTTTGTAATGCTCTCTCTGTGACGTTAATCCCTACAGGTAAAAGATATTAATACTTTGCTTTAGAAGCCTGAAGGAAATAGTTTTTTTAGTTGTCTTTGTGCAGAAGATCTGACTAATATGATATCCGAATGACTGAAATATTTGCCATGTTAGCAGACACTATTTCATGCGCTGAATGACGAAGGCACATATGCGGTTAGTTAATGATTTCAATTCTGAAACAGGTTTTATTAGTCAAGTTCTGTCGGCAAAAAGGTATATATGACTATTATAGTTGTGTACGAAGTTATGTGGTCGACAAAATAAAGATTCCCAATCATTAGTCAGAGAAAACGGAGTGAGTTGGGCAATCTTTACTGTTCAGGAAGTGCGTACACAGAGGCTCTGTGGGCAGTCGCCACGAGCGCGCTCTCCAGGCAACTTGTTGTCTGTGTCCGCCTTCAAGGTGCTGAGTCCCAGCGCATGTTTTCTCCTTTCGTTGTCTCCGCGTCCGCCAGCCAGCGTTAATTGGCCTGGAGCACTCGCGAGGCTAATGACAAGCCACTCGTGTCCCAGCAACGTATCGACAAGGAATGTGAGGCGGACAGGAGGGCAGCGTGGTGAACGCGGAGGACAAGGAAACGCAAACTGTCACAGTACCCACCGGCTAGACCGAAGGTAGTGCTTAGCGACGTCGAAGGACATGTTGATGTCTGAAAAACATGAGTAACAAAACGGTCAGGAAAATGACATGGCGTCCACTACGAGTGATATATACAGAGGGCACAGGGGTAGAGTGAGTATGGCTCGCGGTCACAGTGTTGTTGGTTGATGAAGGGGTAGTTGCAGCTGGGGGTTGTGGACATGAGGGCAGAGGGTCCAGGAGGTGGAGCAGGGGGTAGGGGACCACAGAGCTCATCCGGAGGGGTGTCCGGAACGGCAGCTTTGAGACGCTCCATGCTCACGACCTCCTCGCGAGTTCAGCGGTGGATGCGGAAGTTCTTCGTCCCACGAGAGATAACTCGGAAGGGGCCGTCGTAGGGTGGTTCCAAGGGCCGGCGGACTCGATCACATCGGAGGTAGAAGTAAGAGCATGTCGCCAAGTCTTTCTCGAGGTAAGACTCGAAGTTAGATGACCTGGGCGCAACCAAGGAAATAGTCCGCATGAATTGCCGGAGGCGATGCAGGAGGTTGGTAGGATCCTCAAGTGCTACTGGCGGGGTTGGCGAGATCGCCTGACCTCGATGTTGGACGGTTGCGCCGCACACGAGTTCAGCAGCAAAGCAGTCAAGGTCCGACTTGAGGAAGGAGCGAATGTCCAACAGGAATATAGGGAGGTAGTCTGTCCAGTTCTCCGGATCGTCTGCGGCGCGTATGGAGGCCTTCAGCTGACGGTGAAACCGCTCGACTATCCCATTGGCTGCCGGATGATAGGCTGTAGTGTGGATGCGAGTACAGCCTAAAAGAAGAAAAGAGAATGGAAGAGGTTAGATTGAAATTTGGCACCGCAGTCAGTCGTGATAGTGGAGGGAGCACCGAAAATGGCAACCCAACGACTGAGGAAAGCTTTAACGACCATTGGAGCAGCAACAGCAGGCAGTGAAATAGCTTCCGGTCACCGTGTGAATCGATCCATGCAGGTAAGTAACTAGGAACAGCCATTGGAAAGAGGCAGGAGGCCTACAATGTTCAGGTGAACATGACTGAACCTTGCACCAGGACCGGGGAAGGTGCAAATGGGGGCCTTGTTGTGCCGCTGGATCTTACTCCGTTGACAGTGCCATACAAGCCCGTGTCCATGCCTTGAGGTCCTTGTGCATCCCAGGCCAAACGAAGCGGTCGGAAACCAGCTTGTCGATTGCTCGACTCCCAGGGTGAGAGAGGTTATGAAGGGAGGAGAAAACTTTGCGGTGGAGAAATGGTGGCACAAATGGACGATTGGAAGGGGTGGATACGTCGCATAAAATGGTGTCGTTCCCAGTTGTTAGTGGTAGTTCCTGAAGTTGGAGTCTGGAAACATCCTCATCACAGGGTGAATCGACACGGAGTTGTTCGACAGCCACATTAGCTAGATTGATCCCCGGTGAAAGTTGGTTATGTGCGATGGAGGGCCTGGACAGTGCGTCAGTCACCTCATTGCGTGACCCGTCGATGTGGCAGATGTCTGAGGTAAACTGTGAGATGTAGTCCAGTTGGCGAATTTTCCGGGGCTTCAGCTTATCAGACGTGGGCTTGAGAGCTAACGAAATGGGCTTGCAAACCATGAAGACAGTGAAGTTCCTGCCCTCATAAAGTGCCGGAAGTGTTTCACGGTGAGGAAGACAGCAAGGAGCTCCCGTCCAAATATGCTATAGCGCGTCTCGGCAGGTGATAACTTACTGGAGAAGATAGCTAAGGGTTAGGTGCGACCTGCAAGGTGCTGTTGGAGAACCGCGCCTACTGCAACATTAGAGGAGATGGGAGCTTCGGGAGAAAAATGGGTAAGGAGGGTGGCGTCGGCCAGGGCAGCCTTCACCTTATCAAAAGCAGTGAGGGGGTCTGCAGACAGCTCGAACGAACCTTTGGAAACCAAGAGGAGGCTCGTGGGCGGCAGCATGGTGCCGGCACAGTGAGGGATGAAACGGCGGTAGAAAGTGACCATTCCCAGAATTCGCTGCAGCTGACGTTTGAAAGAGGGAGGAGGAAAATCACGGATGGACGTAACCTTCGAGCGAGGAGGATGGATGCCACGGAAGTCGACCAGATGACCGAGAAATTCGATGGGGAAAACACCGAAGACGCACTTAGACGGGTTAAAAACAACGTTGTTTTGTTGAAGGTGATCAAACACCGTTGCCAAATGCTCCATGTGTTCTTAGGCGGTGGAGGTTACTACCAGAAAGTCGTCGATATAGGCGCAGACAAATGGTAGGCCGCGAAGCACTCTGTCTACGAACCTCTGAAAGGTCTGTGAGACGTTGCGGAGTCAAGACGTCATGCGCAGGAACTCAAAGAGGCCAAAGGGGGTGGTGACGGCCGTCATCGAAAGATCCTCTAGGGCGATGGGAATTTGATGGAAAGCACGGACCAGATCGATCTTGGAAAACACAGACTTGCTGAATGGACACTGGCAAAAACCTGAAGATGTGGGAGAGGGTAGCTGTCCGGGACAGTAATGTTGTTCAGGGCCGTGTTATCACCGCAGGGGCGCCACTCACCAGTGGCGACCTTTGGGATCATGTGGAGGGGTGAGGCCCATGGGCTTTCAGATTGACGGATGATGCCCATCTGTAGCATGTGTTCGAATTCTGCCTTGACGGCAGCAAGACGTGCAGGCGCGAGACGGCATAGTCGAGAAAACACGGGAGGGCCAGTGGTCCGAATGTGGTGAACAACATCGTGTGGTGGAATAGAAGCGTTGAAGTTGGGACGAGTGAGGTCGGGGTATTTGGCGAGGAGTTGCCGAAATGGATTTTCTGGGTTCAGGGTCCAAGACAGCGAGTTGACGAGAAACGTCAGGGGAAGAGAAACCCCGGACAGGGAGGCTGGTGGACTTATTGTTTAGACGTGACTGACGGCAGTCGACCGGAAGATCGAAAGCGCCGAGGAAATCTGCACCGAGAATGGCACAGGGGATCTCAGCGACGACGAAGACCCCAGGGGAAAATACGCTGGAGACCTATGTCCAGAGAGAGGGAGCAGCTGTCAAAGTTAGCGATTGGCGAGGTGTTTACGGCCTGTAGGAAAGGACTGCGATTGGGGCACCGACGATCAGCTGGTGTGGGTGGAATGACGCTTGGCTGGGCACCAGTGTCAACCAAGAAACTTCTGCCACTCCGGGTGTCGCGGACGTAAAATGTGCGACCATGGTTAGAGCTGTCGGGAAGATTGGCTGCAATGACCTTCCCGTTTGCTCTGCTTGAAGGTGAAGGAGCAGGGAGAGATGCAGTGACGGGTTTTAACACCAAATGTGGTGTGGTACCAGCAGATGGCAGCTGCGTTTGAACGTGCTGAATGTGAAGACTGGACAAGCAGGGTGGACGGCTTCGGTTTTGCTACGAGATGAGGGAGAGACTGTCTACTTCTGGAGAGAAGTTATATCATCGGCGGGCTTGCTGAGTTCGATCTCAAACTGCGAAATTGGAGGCGCTGGAGGAATTGGGGAAGTTGACAGTGCTGAAATAAATGGTTTATAAAAACCGTGCATCTCCATAAGCCGATCGGCCATCTAAGTATGCTGCGCGGCCGAAAGAACGCCGAAGACGGGTGTTAAAATATGCTACACTTCCGGTGGAAAATTGTCCATGATAAATGCCTGACTTTATCGTAGATTCGGAAGAAGGAAGACGGCTGTTCGCAAGGGAGTCACCAATTGTCAGAAGTAGTGTAGTTAACAAGATAAAGATTCCCAATCAAAAGTCCGGGAGGACGGAGTGAGTCGGACAACCTTTACTGTTGAGGAAGTGCGTACACAAAGGCTCTGTGGGCAATCGCCACGAGCGCGCTCTCCAGGCCAGTTGTTGTCTGTGTCCGGCTTCGAGGTGCTGAGACCCAGGGCGTGTTTGCGCTTTTCGTTGTCCCCGCGTCCGCCAGCCGGGAGCACTCGCGAGGCTAGTGACAAGCCACGCGCATCTCAGCAGCGACTTGACAGGGAGTGTAAGGCGGACAGAAATGCAGCGTGACAGAGGAGGAGGGCAAGGAGACGCGAACGGCCACCAAGTCATTAAGGCCAATCAACCTGTTCGCCTTTGACACAGTCCCCAGCAGGGCGTGCGGGTCCTCGTAAAACTTGTCTCTTGCGGCGTCAGGGTTGGTCACCGGCGGAGCGTAGGCGCTGATGATGCCATAAATCGCATAAATTTCAAAACCTAACGGTTATCAAATGTGCCGCTAGTTATGATAGGTATGCGGTCCTGCGCCATAGTGCCTTTACTATCCTTATCTGTAACCGTCTCTGATGATAAGTTCGAGTGGGAATCTATTAGGTCAAGCAAACAAATTTGTTGTTCCAGTGATCGCTTCTTCTTCTGAACTGCTTCTTGGAACTCACCTGTTCGCTTCCATCGCATAACAGAATAGCGCACAAAAGAACTTCGTACAGGCCCCACAGTCACCATGGGCTAAATCCACCATGCTAGCCCTCTGCGTATAATTACTCGTCCCAGTGCCCGGCATGCCCTTCTACACCCTGACACTGACGGTAATTTTGTTTTTCACCTTACCCACCCAGACCCTCTCCCCGCATTTTCTTTTTAATCACGTCGATAGCAATACAAATGCGTATTTCTGATGAGAATTTATCAAAAACTTACGTGTGCTCGTCAAATTGTCTTTTGAATTCTCCAATGGGAACATTCTCATCCCTACAGCAATAGTATTTAGCCTAACAAATACATACAGTGTGCTTATAGAAACAAACCGATTTATGCCATCAAAACCGCAAGCCACCATTTTCAAAAATCGGTCTTTAGGCAACCAGACCAAGATATGAACACTTCCTTGTAGGGTAGGGGCCTTTAATGTCTTAGTTGACATGAACCGATAAGTGAACTTTTTTGATAACTTTTCCACAGGACCTCTATAACCATTGGATCCGACGGGAATCGGTGACTCACGCAGAAGGCAGAAGGTTTCGGTTAAAAACGGCAGCACTAAATTAGCTGTCATCATCAATTACTGGCTTAGCGGATTCGTTATTACATTCTAGGCTATAAAACGTTCACTAAAATACGTTCACTATAAATGTTCACTGTCATTATCAATTATTGGCTTAACGGATGCCTTCTTACATTCTAGGCACGAAAACGTTAACTAATCCGATATTCGAATGACTGAAATATTTGCCTTATTAGCAGACACGATTTCATGCGCTGAATGACAGAGGCACATATGTGGTCAGTCAACGAGTTCAAGTCTGACACAGGTTTTATCAGTCTAGTTCTGTCAAAAAGGTATACATGACTGATAAAGTTCAATCAACAAGTAGAAGGGAGTGGTGAAAGGAGGACGTTTCAAATTTTCACCAAAAACCCATCGTCTGGTTCATCGACTCTGGTTTTGAAGACCGTCCGAATGCCCACTCACCAAGTGGGTAATAACTCTACCCAAGCTGTCTTCGGGACCAGATATGGTGGGAAGAGGCCATTGCATTTATTAATAAACGGAGATCATGAAGAAGGAGACAGGATCGCCTGACGTTTCGGATTCCTGCTCAAACCCATCATCAGAGGCAAAAGTAGATACGGTTTCTTCATGCACAAGGGACTGCAGTATTTATAGGATGCAGTCGCCATGCTACCGCATACCTATGCATATTCACGGCTCTCGTCTGACCCCAGCCCCTCCACCTTTCATCAGGGATCGCTGAAAGTGGCGTGATGACCGACATTCGCGTCGTTAATTGATGCGATTTCATCAAGTGCGTTGGATGTTGGTGTGATCATTGTTGGACCATCTGACTCGCTGACCCGGGTGTTGGTATAAGTGCTGACCTGTGCGCTCCCCACGTGACCAATTTCTCCGCCTAGGCGAAGTCTCAGCACCGAGCATTGGACGGGAAGATATTGGAAGTCCCGTCGATCGTGTCTTCTTCTTCTTCAAGTCTGCTACCTGGGACTCGTCTCTTCGCTTCTATTGGCAATGTATTTGAGCGCGATGCGCTGCAATCGGCCCGGCGATGGGAAACCTTCGCCCTTCGGGAGGCCTCCACGTATGCGCAGATCCGGTTTCTGCACAGGTGTCTCACCAATAATGTGTTGCCGAAATGTGTTTCATACAAGCCCCGGTTAACACAGATTTGGCGAGACGAGCAGTATTTCAGCACGGCAGAAGGATGATCCGAGTGCTCCTCCAAGATTGTCACGCGAGACTTCGCAAGTACCGTCAAAGGATTGACCAAGAAAAGACCAGATGCCGTGAGTTCATGGAGGAGATCGATACAAATCTGCTCCTGCAGAGGATAGCTCAACAAGCCCGCGAACAGGAAATGATACGCGACGCAGCACTGGAGAACATATTCCGCAAGCTGCCTAATCCAACTGAAACTTATGTGAGCAGGCTTCGTCCAGTACGAGAACGCTTGGCAAAATTTAGGGTTGGTCCGATTGTATCTCTTTTCTTGTCTGCGCATGAGCCGGTTCTGCGGGTAACCATTCTCTCTAATCACTCCTTGAAAGTATCGTATTTGAGCAACCTTGTGCCCTTGAACATGCCGATATGGCGCTCTTACTCAACTGCGTTTGCGGCTAATTGGGTGGCTGCTGTTGTGACTCAGAACTTGCGTCGTAGTAGTCTCCTTCCTAAACGCTTTACTTTTTAGGCCATCACAGTCTTTGCGACAGACGAGAACCGCGATGAAGGCCAGCTGGTGGTTTTTTCTCCCGCATGGTGAATCGTGTGTTCGGGAGATGGGGTTGAGACGGTCTTCTAATGTTGTCACCTGATCCCTTTCATTGACGGCGAAGGTATCATCCATATACCGAGCCCAGAATTTTGGTCTGTGGCGTCGGAAGACCAGTGAATCCAAGGGCTGGATCACCGCCTCGGTTATGAGTCCCGAACTCAGTGAACCCACTGAAGATTGTGCCGTCGAAGGTGAAGTACGTCCTGATGCAGAGCATCAAGACTTGGAGGATTTGGGTATTTTCGAGGCGATTCACCGTCTCAGCGCATTTGTTCAGCAGGACTGATTCGATGGTCCCTACCGCCAGACCCTAGGGAATAAACGTAAAACAATGCTACCGTCCCGCTTAATATTCCATGCTGGGACTTTGCCTTGGCAAACACATTGGGCACGCTTGTGAGGGAGGACGGACGACCAACACTTCCAAGACAGTGAACCGAATTATCAAGTAGTTTTCACGCCAAGAACCAGCAAAGCAGATTATCAGGCGATCGTCGAATGACAAAGGAGTCCCAGCGATTAATGAGGGAACTATTAATCATGGCGTGCATGTCGTTGCATGGTGATTGAGTTATATAAATACTCTGTTTCTTGTGTTCTCATTAGCCTTACCTGCGACTGTTTCTGGGGTTGAGTTCAAGTGGGGTTCCGAAGCATCAAGCCAGTAAATCTCTTGTCCCAGATTTCGTCTCTCCTTCTGAACTGCTTCTATCGACAAACTGTTCTCAACTCCAGGATCCATATGTTGAGTACTCATCAAGCTAACATCCAACCGGGGTGATTAAATTTTAGCGGTTAAAATTTGATTGCAGGCCGTCAAGTCATTATTGTAACAAGGGCAACCGTCCTCCATGTGGGCGTGTAGCAGTTAGTATTCATAGCCTTGCAGGATAGTAGCGACTTCATCCCACAAATACTGTACAGAAATTATATTTATGTGATGCTCTCTCTGATGCCAGGAATGTAAATTTCTTGTCTCAACGATCGCGTCTTCCTTGCAGCTGCTCCTAGTGACCCATTTTTCACTTCTATCGGCGGAGTTTGATCAATTCTGCGAAACGGCTTCCAGCGATGTTCGTCTGCGCGTAAAAAGGGTTCTAAATTGGAGGTGAATTAATTTAGTGAAATTTCTGATTTCCTGATGTTTCAATAACTGCTATTTCGCAAAATGGAAAATTATTCGTTGTTTGGGAAACGCCTATTGTGCTAAAGATTAATTTCAAATGAGGAAAAACATTATTCCAAAATATTTGAATGTTGTTCATATTTAGGGTTTACCCGATTTCATATGACGTAATCAATCTTTTCATTCCACTGACAAACCGTGACCTTTCGACATATAACTTTAAAAAGTTATGCAAGGCCGCATCTGCATCAGAATAATTTGTTTTTCGTCTTACTGACTGTGCATGGAGAATCATGTTCCTAAATAGTCTATTGAAAGTGCCAATTTTCACTAATACCATGCCAGATTGATAAAGAGACCATGGATTATCAATTTAACCGCAGTTTGTATGAAACCATTCGGAGGTATTTAACGGATTTTCTTGTTAATTAATTCTTAGCATTATGGCATCAATTTTTTTTTACCTAATGAATTTTTATTAGGCTACCAAAAGAATGAGCATCAGCGTATACACAAATGAGAAGGTAGGGTCCAATCGACTCATAGTTTTGGACGTCGCTCCCATTACTCAACTTTTCAGAAGCTATTAGTCGTATTCTCTCATTTCTCGAAGTTGGTGTCGCACATGGACTGGAGAAAAGCATTAGGACCCAAGGCCAGCCCACAGCTAAGGATCTCATAGAACTCATGGGGCACTGCCTCAAGACATTCTTTACCTTCGAAGGGACGACACACGAAAAGATCAAGGGCACTCCAATGGGTTCACCAATCTCCGGACTCATTGCCGAGGCGGTTCTACAAAAACTCGAGAGACGACTATTCGAGGAGTACAAACCCAAGTTTTGGGCACGCTACGTTGATGACACCTTCGTAATCATAGACCAGGATAAAATCAACTACTATGCGCAAGTACTGAACTCAATCATGCCCGATCTACAGTTCACGATGGAAGAGGAAGTAGAGGACAAACTTCCATTCTTGGATGTTCTCGTCTGCCGCCAACCGAATGGCGAACTAGCGACGTCGGTCTACAGAAAACCGACGAACACGCTACAAATTCTCAGCTACAACAGCGACCACCCGCCACAACAAACAACAAACTACAAATCATATATTTTCCGCGTGCGTAAGACCACACGTTTCTGTACGATATTAAGTGGGCCCCAGATGGGGATCATAAAAGTCAGCACTGGATTTGAGCCATTTTGTTAACCTTAAGAGCCACACGGGTAAGGGCAAAGAAATGACGGTTGATGAACGGCCATTTCACGGGATTAAAAATTCTCACAATAAAAAACTTTTCAAAATCCGAATTATACCCTTCCTTTGAGTACAAAATTGAAAGAAGATGTAATTTTCTATTGAATAAGGAAAGGAATGAATATTTTTATGCATGCTTTCCATGAAATATAATTGAACTTTATGGGCATAAAAAATCATCGAGAAAAATCCATGCTGAATATGTAGTCGTTTTTTACAGAGTATAGCTCTTGCATACAGCCAAAGTGAAGTTCATTCGAAAGCTCGCATCCTGGAGTAACTGAATTATTATGTTATGTTGCGTGATGATTTTTTCTCCAACTATACTTAATTAACCTTTTGGAAACGAAAAAGAATTTCGGAATTTTGGTTGCCATTTCATGAGTTAGCCCACCTACTGTATATTCCACGGAAAACGTGCACAAATATCCTCATTTCCCTGCTCATTTGGTAGAAAGTGACGTTTTCTTTCAATTTTTTACACAAAAAGGGTACAGTGCGTGAGCTATCTCATGAAAGGTTGGCTGAAATTCTGAATTGCGTTTTCGATTAGGAAGGATTACTTGGTCGCGGTTGTAACAATGATTATCATAAGGCATATTCTTATAACATTTTGGACTCGGCAGGACGTCAGCTTTTAAATGCACTTCTTTTCACTCTCGTGTAGAAAGCGTGCCCGGTAAAAAGTGACTAATTAAATAGCATGCATTTTCCCAAATGATTTTCGATGGTCTTGGAAATTCAAATATATTTTATAGAAACCACAAACAAAAATATGCTTTCTTTAAGTCAATCAATAGAGAATCACGTCTTCTTTATATTTTATACT